GTATGCAATATAAATCCATAATATGAACTGCTCAAGTTGAAAATGACACTTCCAGGTTCTTAAAGTTCAAAACTTCTAGAAAGTTGTGTTCCCTCTTACCCTGGTGAAGGATGCAGGGGTCACACTCATCCAAAACGTTTCGACAGCAGGGTACAGCGTAGCCCACTTTCGTTCCCTGGGAGGGGCACTTACATGAAATCTGCTCATACTCACAGCAGGTACGGCACATGGCGTTCCACTGCGGGCCGGGACATTTATCCTCCTGCGACCTAAAAACTAAATCAAGCAGACTACAAGTCAGAGACATAATGTCTTGCATGATTTTCTAGAATTCATCTGACTGACATTAAGTGAACAGTGTCTTCTTCAAATGAAGTGTTCACTGTGATACGTTTCATTTGGCATGTTAGAGGAAAAGTAAGTCAATTTATCTTCCTGTTCAGTCAGGGAAAAGTCATTATTTTGAACAATCAGTCAGTGAAAGCTGATGTGATTATTTGTGAGGCAATATTGTGCCAGAGAAAAATGTTAAGACAAGAAAGTCCATCTTTAAAGAAATAGTTCACCCCAAAAATGAAAATTTGCTGACAGTGTACTCAACCTCAGGCCTCAACCTGAAGATGTAGATGAGTTTGTTTCTTCATCATGAACAGAATTGAAATTTAGCATCACATCATTTGCTCACCAATGGATCCTCTGCAGTGAATGGGTGCCATCAAAATGAGAGTCCAAACAGTTGATAAAAACATCACAATAATCCACATGACTCTAGTCCATCTATTAATGTCAATTAATGTGTTTGTAAACAAATATATGAAGATGTTTTAAACCTTTAAACCCTTGTTTCTGTGTCCATAATCCATAATATTGATTTATCCAGTGAAAAACTCCATCTCGTCTGAATTAGGAGAGAAATATGCACAGATCAAGCACTGTTTACAAGTGAAAGCTGTTCTAAACAAACATGTTAGCCGATGTGAAAGGACAACAGGGGATTCACTTCCTCACTGGAGGAAGCGTTATTATGGGTTATGGACTTGCAATGGTTGTTGTGAATTTGACTAATTTGTTTCTAATTTTTCTTATTTTTCCTTTGTACTACATCTCCCACAATTCCTAGTAAACTACATTTCCATATATGGTGCACTACATTACCCATATTCCCCTGGTTAAGGTCTATAAATAGACCTTACTTCCTTCCTTTGTCCCTTTTGCATTGGTGAGGTGTGGGTTTGAATGGACACCCAACCATGTTCTTTGAGTCCTTCCCTTAGGATGCGTTAAGTAAGTCTATTTGCCAATTGTATAGTTTGAATTAGTTTATTTGAATTGTTTAGATATTTAGTCCCTATTTGGATTGAATACAATATTGACGTTTATTGATGAATTAATTTCATGAGTTTGATTTCTCTTTTGTATTGTTTGTAGTGACTTAAAACCATCCTGTTTATCCTATGCATCCTGTTCATCATGTCCAACCTAGTAGTCCTGCTCCATGTGACTTTGTGAACTTCATATCGTGTGAATTGCTAAAGATTTATGTTTCTTCAATCCAATGGAATAAAAGAGAGCAAAGGACTGGTGTTTTTCACGTTTGGCTTTGTAATAATTTCTTAATTTGTTTGATACCAGCTTTGCTCTATTTACTAAGAAAATAATTACTGGATACAAATAAATCTGTGTTTTGTCTCACAGGCTGGAAAACTATATATGCAAATACGTAGCTGCTCACCTTTCATGTGTTAAAATGCAAAAGAACATGAAACCACATCAAGAAACCAGATCCACTGGCCCTGAAGCAACTTGGCTGTCAAATCTCCTGCTCTCTCTCTCTCTCTCTCTCTCTTCTCTCTCAGACAGTTCCTCTTGCTTCACTCTCTCCCTCAATTTACAGTCTGTTGCAGTTTCACTGCTCAACTGTTGCTGTGACGTAAGACCTTTGATACAGAGCAAGGGGAAACCTTTAACCCATTCTCTTACCAATGTCATGTTTGTTTATTTGTTAGACACAGTTACTAAGTTACTTCTAAATATTCCTCTGCCAGCAAACCAAGCTGTTGTAGCAGCTTGGAACAAAAGTTGTAAATGTAAAAAACTGTAAATGTAGTTTCTAGAGAAGTGTAGTGGAGTCTTTAATAATACTAATTTAGGTTATAATTTATGTACTGACAACACACTTTTGGGAGAATATATATATATAAATAAATATAATAAATTGGCACCATTTCACTGGTCAAGCAGATAATGGGATGTGGGAATGTATTCTACAAATGACTGACTTTGAGAACTCTCTTTCATTGCCTTGCTCTCTCTCTCTCTCGCTCTCGCTCTCGCTCTCGCTCTCTCTCTCTCTCTCTCTCTCTCTCTCTCTCTCTTTAACCCCTCCCCCATCTGTTTCTCCATTTGACTGATCCATTTGGATTATTTTCTTTACATGTAGACTTTCAGTCTTCTGCTGCAACTTTCACTTTTGATATGAGAAAAATATATGTGATTCTCTAAGGTTGGTGTCACAAAGACAGATGTAAGTTGTTTTCTAGTTTGGTAGAATGGTTCAGCAGGACAGACTAAAGAGGAAAACATTTCCCCGTTTGTTTTGAGTTCCCATGGAAACCGAGTTTCCATGTTCTTAACTGTTCCCAAATACACTCATTCTGTCTGAATGAAGAAAACCCCCTGCTCTTATGACTGTGATGATTAACAAATGTGTCACGAGACACAAAGCACAAACACACTGAAAAAAAATATCCTGCTGGTAAACAACTGTTGATCTGACCTATCAATATTTATAATTAGACAAGTATAGTCTAATGATACTTTTGTTCAAAATAGGATCTCTGCAAAAAGCCTTAACTGTTTTCCAGTTTATTTTTTATTACTGCCTGTTTCCACCCTCTCTACACCATACAGTATTCATTTTCCATAGAAACCCTCCTCAAATTATTTTCATTCTCTCCAAACAATAAAATCAAATCAAAACCCAAATCCATACACTGAAGCTTTGCATGTTTAGTATTGTGTGCATATTGAAAACAAATTCTAAGATGTTTATGTCCTCAGAATGTTTAGCAGTTTTACGACTATTGAAGTCAAACATCAATGTGTCCAACAGCAGGCAAACAGCATATGCGTACAATACAATTACTAAAATTATCGACATGTTTTTTTGTTTGTTTTGTTTTGTTTTTTGAGGGGTTGTCAGAGATGTTTTACATGCAACTCTGACATTTAATTTGTTTCAGCTGTGGCAGCTACATACGAACAAAATTCCACAGAAAGGACAGAGTCTTAAAAATATTTTCAAATAAACATCTCCTTCCAAACGGAGTGTTTATCTTGGACAAATATTAATGAATCACACTGGCAGTTTTAAAGGGATATTTGAATGATAGTTTCGATTATCACAAACGTTTTACTTCTGTTAAGGGGCAGTCACAATCCATCAACGTCTAAGCAATATTGGATTATATTCTTGCACACAGGGCCGTTTCTAGCCAATTTTACGCCCTAGGCGAAATCCC